TTTATCTAACAGATTAAAGCGTGTTTTACTAAGCACAGCTAGTATTAATAAAATTAAGTATGATTGTGCTGATTTAAGATTTTAACGATTTCACCATCAATGCAAACAACTGTTGCCCGACATCCATGTCTCACTCTGCTACAAATCCATCGAGCCTTGCACCCTTTGCTTGAACTATGTCGAAAGAACTTGAATCCATTGAAGAAAAATGCCGAATTTCCTTTAAGATTTTTCTTAATGAATGCTTAAATAAAATACATAGAAATTACTTTTAGAAACAAATATTTACAGAGACAGATCTACTGGAAATCTACTGGCTGTAGCGCTAAATTCTAGGTGTTGGTCTCACAATTCTTTATCTGTTTTGTGAAAAAGAAATCTAATGGCAAGTAGCATGAACTTTCATGCCTAACATACACCATCGGCGTTTTAGATCTAAGGCATGACGGTCGAAGTTGACACAGATACAAGATACTTTAGGGCCGCGTTCTTAAATATGTTTAAATAAATGTTTTGGTAAGTATAGTCGGAAAAAATAAACAAAAGTCGTCAGTGTGTTAACGTACAAAAACCACCATGAGTCAAATTTCACAATTTATTACTAAATTTTTTCAAGCGATCAATAAAATACAAAACAATAAGTATAATTTCATATTCTGCAAAAGCCATCGTAGAAAACTTATCAAATTATACGCAACCTAATAACTAAGAACTACCTATATTGCTTTTATTTAATTTTTATTAATGTCATATAATTGTTACCTAGAATTAATATACTGTAATATGAATTCTTAATTGCACGATAAGGTTAATTTCAGTAAAAAACTACATACAAATTTAGAATGTTAGTACAAATTCAGAACTGTTCACCAAAATAAAAATATTATTATAAATATAAATTACAATGAAACCACAGAAAAAGGCACTATTAGGGATAACTAATCAATGACACAATTATTTCTTACATAAACAGTAGCACTCCATTCGTTCTGCTCTGTGGCTCTAGACAAACGATAAACAACAATGTTATGAAGAATATAATATACTATGTTGAATAAATTTATTCTATATAACGAATCGTCAGAGAAGTAAAGTATATTTGTAATATTATAATGCATGTTTTTCATTTGTCTAGAGACGCTGGCGTAGTGAGTCGTAGCAATGTCCGGCGTAGCTATATACGCTACGCGTGTAGCATCTTGCTACGAATTGATTATAGCTACAAATAAATTTTAATGCATTATGCTTTTCAAATTTAAAACTAAAGTTTATTAATATTTATAATCTATTAAGGCGAGAGTAGATCCGGTTAATCTTAGAATCTATTAGCAGTAGTATGTGCCACGGGATCGTGAAGGCCCCAGACGCGAACAATAGCATTGTCCATTGTATGAAGAGAAGCTCTGCATCCCGATTTTGCTTTCACACACACCCATCTGGATCTATTCCCTTGTTTAGTCACTCGGTTGAAGCGGTATTTTCCAATTATTATAACTGTGTTACCCCTTTGAGACAGAGCAAACACTGGTTTCAGATCTGAAAAATCATATTGAATTAGTAGGGTTAACGGTACGCTCAATCAACGAATAATAAAATCCAAATAAGCGTTTTCAAGGAAATTTTTGCCGCGCACCACCGCAGCTGCCCACTGAAGTATTACAGAACTAATTTGACTTAGGGTCCTTCAAGAAAAGAGCGTACCAATACTTAAAAAGCCGGCAACGCACTCGCGAGCCCTCTGGCATTGAGAGTGTCCATAGGCGGCGGTATCACTTAATATCAGGTGAGCCTCCTGCCCCTGTTCTATAAAAAAAATCTATACGCAATTAGAATGATGAATAAAACAACACAATTTTTTCTTGAAATTTAATTTTAATTATTTGATTCACACGACAAAAATACACTATACACTTTTAGTTACAAGTTTCTAAATTTATGAACAATCACGAATGGGCATGATATATGAATCATTAACCCTTATAATTAAGTATGGTCATATACCATGTACAATGTAGTAGAATATAAAACAAAAGACGTCAAACAGTACATTCATTTTGGACAAAAGAAAGTAATAACATGATGTTCCATGTGTCAACGCGTAGAGTAACGACGTAACGACTAGAGATGCTGCTAAACAATCACAATAGAAGGGAATGTGCAATAGTTCAACCTTCGTCAAACACTGCAACCCCCCAGTTATGACTGTCTTCTTATGTATCTAAAGAGCTAAAAATTTACCGCTATCCGGGTTCGGTGGGGTTCTGACAATTTCATTTTTATGGTTGCATCTATTTCATATAAGGAAGTTGCTTAACCGTAGATTTTAAAGGGGCTTTAAAAAGCAAATGGGAAGATAAGTTAGCATTTGTGCTTGTTAACGGATATTGACTGTAAAAGCAGCTAGAATGTCAAGCGAGATCACGATGAATATGCTGATTTCTTACACCTACAACCTCATTTTTTAGTGTCGTCATCCGAGCGTTGCACCGCCATTTATTACATTTCCACGATATTTTGTCGCCATTTTTGTAGTTTTTATGAAACCGAAAACCTTGGTGTATCAATATTGTACTCCCATCTTCCCCAGGCCCAAAGTAGAAGTCTACCGGATTACCTGAAAACACACAATATTACCAAACTTTCAGAATATGGAATGGATTTAAAACGACAACTGTACATATTTTTATTAATTTAGATGAGATATTAGACGAGGTCTGTCTTTAAATTTATTTAAAAAGCTTCTTTTTAATCATTTTCTTTCTGCCTCGTAATTAGCTCTGCTTATTAATTATTGTGACTCAGTTAACCTTTTGTTTGGCTTTTAAATTTGTGTTTATACATATTTTTATTTATTATTATTGTTATTTTTTCTTTAGATTTTACTTTATTTTATTCTAGTTATAGTAACGTGTTATTTTGAGTTTTTTTGTTAATTATTTTTGCATTTCTTGTACTCTACCCTCTGTAGGTGCTTCTAAGATAGATTTATATAGACTATAGAGCATAATGTAGAACAATATCAAACTCAAAAGTTACTTATTTCATATATAAATACTATTTACTAGATAATGTTAATTAAATATAATTAAAAATGCATTCCCGCTCCAAATCGGGTGCATTCGTTTTTCTTACTAAACAACATATCCATATACTTACCTCAAATGTATATTTAATGTTTTGTGCAACTAAATATATAACATCTAATAAAACAGGATGTCTTGTTATTACTACAAAATAATTTACGTGTGTACGAGATATGTAACCTAACATTAAGTTAAGTTATATTATATATATATATAAATTATATATATTTTAGTTATTACTTAAGAGCGTTAACAAAATGTAAACAACCATGTTAGTCCTTTAGTTTTTACCACACTCATAAATTGTAATTTAAAATTCTCGTTTCTGATAATGTCCAATAACATACGAGTAAGTGTCACTTTGATTTACGAACTCTTCAAAGTCAAGTTATTTTTGAAGTTATACTTCTTTAGGCGCGTTATGAAAAATTGATAAGAGTGAAATTTTACGATGCACGCGCACTGTGACACAAAATTAACAGAATGAAGTTGCCCACGGAAGATGCTACGGCATTGGACATAATTTTAAAACAACATTCGAATAATAATAGAATTTATGTTACACTTAATGTAAGAGAATAATAATAAATATTTATTTGTTTAATTTTTCAAATGTAAACTGAACTTTATTGACTATAATGACTCCTTTTCCAGTCTTTGATTATTTAATTGTAATTAATTATTTGCATGCAATCAAAAACTATTTTTAATAATGCCAAAGAAGTATAACTTCTTACGCGCATACATAAATACACGCACCCTTTTTTTATTAATCCAGCGTCGCAACCCCACTATCCCTAATTTTATCGTAGTTATAAGCTCATGTTTTAAACAATTATAACCAACTGTTACCCAGCTTCAAACAAAGTGTTTTATTTAAACATATCCATACAACAAACGCCACCTAACTTAATTCAAACTTAATAGACACAAGCAACTTTAAAAAATTTCATCGAATTGACTTCAACGTCGAAATAAAAGTTTTAAGCTGTTGTATTACTTTAATATTTTTCCATATAATTATGTTTATGTTTATCTTATAAATACTGTTTAATACCCTCTAACAACAAATACTTCAAATAAATTGGTTGAATAGACATTTAACTCTTAGTTTTACATCGAATGACTAGAAAATGGAACATTTAAGAGATCATATAATGTTTTAAATTGATAAATATATACATATTTACGATACTATAAATTTAGTCATACTCTGAGGCGTCTATTAAATGATACCTAAAGAATAATCCAAATCAGCTTTGAAATTTAAACACGAACTAATTGCTTTTAATACTAAAAACCTTATAACATGCTCCCTCGGAGTAGTCCTTTATTTTTGAGTTAAATCATAGCTTTAGTTTAAAAAATGCCATCAGAGCGATTTAGTTTTTATGAATAAAGGGATGTCTTTAGCTCCTTATTAACGACTCTGAGTATGACTGTTTCACGTTATTCACTATCTTAAGCTTGAGATATGTATTATGTAATATTAATTTAGGTAAATTATCACAAATTGTTTAATAATTTGATTTCTTAAAGATTATCGATATTAATTAGGTGTGTATACCATGTTTAAAACGTTATAATAATTTTCTTCGTATAAAAGAATAGTGACAAGTATGTATAATTAATAAAAAAATAGATTAAAACGCGGTAAATTATAATAATTTTAATTCCTGGCATAACACGCGCCAGAATAATAAAATTAATGAAATATATATATATATAACATTTTACATTAATTTACATATTTCCTTAGTTTCACGAAATAAATAGTATTATATAAAATATACAGGTACCCTTGACCATCCAGGCTACACCTAAATTTACTAAAAAAATATATTTGGCCCATTCAATGGTAAATTACATTAGTAAAAACGTATAAGTAGTTTTAGTAGAATATATTAACAGCTGAATTTATTCTTTCTTTGGATACATAGATGTGCATGTATGTGCCTTTCCGTCTATGACCTCATCTTTGCTCTGAAAATAATCGGTATCATTAAGCAATTTCAACCAACGAATATATTCAGAACATTCAATAGAACAACTTACACTAACGATCATTGTTCCCGGACATTTAAAATATTTATAATTTGAACATCGCCAAGAAACTGCTCCATTTTTATATTTTTTCTGTTGGTAATATCTACGTCTTCCATACACAAGGGACATTTTTGTCATTAGTGGCACGTACTGAAGCGCTTCTGAAAAAACGAAAGACCTATTCATTCTCTGATAATGCAATCATAAATAAATACAATTTCACATTCACGCCTTTAACGCCGAACAGATGCCACGGATCTTCAGGTGCTACGGTCCTGATATACCTCTCTCGCTTCATCCTCTTTCATGACATTCACAATGCATGCTTGTCGGTTATGAGTAATTGGTCCACGTATGTACGACGAGGCCTTCCCGACTCGACCACCACGACCGACTCACCATCCACTATTACCTTGTATACTCTACATTTATGCCGTTTCTCATTCTTACTTTCAACATGGCCAAACCACCTCAGCATTCCCTTTCGTATCCTTCTCACTATGCCTTTTTTATACCGCACTGTTCACGTATCTCTATTGCTATTACACCAAACATACTTCTAAACGTTCTCAATTCAACGGCATTTATTCTACTTTCTTTTTCTCTGCCACACCCATCATTCACTCACGTTAAGGTTGGGACAATCGACCTTTTAGTAAGAGTCGAGTCTAATTTGAGATATCTTGCCTACACGAATATATAAATTGTATTAGTAAATGATTCTTTTGATTGATAACATTATTTTGTTTATCAGTTATAATTGTGATTCGTTTATATTTTACGTATTTCCATGCTATTTTGGTGCCGTTGAGTTTAAAATCCCGGGGTAAACAATCGCTTGCTTTTTTAGCAGCAAAACAAAGTTGTATAGAAAATTAATAGTCCTAATACGTTTGGGACGTTAGTCTACAATTATATTTGATTGCATTAAGTGAATATGTTACCTTTTGGAACTTTCTTCGGGTCTGAAGTTGTCTCAAGTAATACTTTATTAGCCTCTTCATCGGCACAACATGAATGTGTTTTTTGGGATACTACTTTGTCTCCCTAAAATAATTACAAGTCAAGTGACAATTATATTTCTGTAGAAGACGGATCAAAATTAATATTTGTCTATTAACAATAAAATGGCGAAAAGCTAGAAATAGTCAGTACGGAAAAACAACCGTCGTGGGATTTGAGGAAGTTACCTTTTTTGTTGTGTTGACAAGTTTCGTCATTACAGTTCGTCACTAATAATTTTGATACACAATAAAAACAAATTCACAAAACAAATTGTGTATATTTTGTGTGTATACATGACGCCTAGCAAATGAGAATCATATTTCTCCTCTGCACCGGTTTTTTTTCCGCACGAACTACTAAGGGAGCGTTCAAGTATTACGTCACGCAATTTTTGGAGATTATTGACCAAAATAAGTTATGTAATACTTGAACGCTATCCCTAAAGTAAAAATAGGAATTCATGGTTTATTATAATTCCTATTTCAGAATATTGTCTTTCAAAGCATCATTTATCATTCGTACCTAATGGGCATTAAATTTCGTTACAAAGATATTTTAGTAAATTTTGTTAAAGTATTAATAACAATTACATAATTTTTTATTATAAATGCAAAACTGGTTATACTAAAAAGTAGTCAGAAGAAACGTTACTTCCAAATAACGATTAAGGAACGAATACAGATATCAAAGGTACCAAAGATTCAGAATCAAGACTCAGTGTGAAAAATACGTTTTTGATATACCTACTGACTCTTACGGGAAGGATTGTAGCGAAATCAGCGAAACGATAAAAAAAACATACCAAAACATTGATCTTTCCGTTACAATTTGAATTGATGTAATTCGTACAACGCCACGCCACGGTTCCGTTTTTGTATTTCTTTAGAAGATGGTACCTGTGGCCTTTGTGTAATAATGCCTTACTTTCTAATAGACCCCGTCTTACTGTGACGTATTGAACGGCATCTGAAAGAACAGAACATGTAATACCTGTTCATACGGATGGGTTTGCACACTGTTTTCACGATGGCTATAGATAACTTATATTACTATCAAATATCAAAAAAATCTTGCTTTAAATGCATATACACAAGAACAGTTAGTTGGTCAAAAAAATATATGAAATTTTCATGGGCGGTATCACTTAACATCAGGTGAGCCCTCGTGCCCGTTTGTTCTATAAAAAATTTATTAATTAATAAAACGATTGATTAAAATATTTAATTGAGTATATCCTTTTTCACAATACCGTAGTTTATAAAAGTTTATTAAATACTACAAGAATAAAATAATAAGTCGTTCAAAATTTAAAACAAAAATTAATTTATTTACGAAAATTCTTTTAAAAATGAAAAATATATCTGTTATTATGGCAACTAGATTTAATTTTTTATGTAAAACTACTAAAACTTAATTAATTAAAATACGAGTTTCATTAATATGTTTTATTAAAAATCAATTAGACAACATAAGCTTATGTTAGTAAATCAATACTAAAAATTAGTACATTAAAAATTGTGACATAAAAATTAAAATATGGATGTCATATATCAAATAAAAAAAGGTTATTATTGTTATGGATCTCATTATCTAAATATTAGTGCAATAACTACTTAACTCCAGAAAAGTGTAATCCTACTTTTCTAAATTCAAAAATCGAATGTTAGTACATTAAGGGTGGGTTGTTTCAAGCCTACTAAACTTCTTATAACTACCATTTATATAGTAATAACATAATCACGTATAATGTTGCAGCACTTTTCAAGCATCTTGTAAACAAAATACTTTGGCAGAGAGTTTGTAGTAAGTTCTTCAAACGTGTTCCCAAACGCACTTTTAATTTGTCGATAATAATTTTTAAAATGTGATTTTACATATTTATAAATGTAATATTTGTTACTGTGATATTATGAATAACACGTAATTAACTTCAATCAGCGTATAATAATAACGCCGATATCATTACCATGGTTATAGTAAATTCTTCCAAAAAAATTGTATTCTTGTAAAAATTAACAATTATTACGCATAAAATTCTTTTAATATTCATGCAACGACATAATTTAACGAAACATTTGTATTACGTTAATCTCATGTAATTGCGTCAAATGTGTCATTAACGGCTTGAAACAACTCGTCCTAATACAAAACTGCTCGTTATAACAACTGTCGATAATTATTTATTAAAACACTTATAATAGCCCTTCTGGTAGTCCAAATGATTATGTTCCTTGTCGCTGACTACCTCATTGTCCACAGTTACCACTGTTCCCTTACACCCACTACTATGTTTCACACAACGCCAGTACACTTTGAACCCGCTCACTTTACGCAAACCAAATCTGAATCCTTTGTAAAGCAACATTTTTGATCCACGCTCCGTTTCTATCACCGTTGGGGCTGAAATAATTGTATAATTAACACCTGATTCGAAAAGCACTATTAAATCTAAATTTACGCGCAGATATTTGTTATGTAAATAAAATAAATCAGATTTCAAGAATAAGTTGTATTTCTTCAATCTTATAGCGACAGAGCATACGAGAAGTTCTGTAGATTGCGAAAGCAACCCGAGTTCCTCAGAGATGGTCTTGTTGGAAGTGCCTAAGGTGGTTTTATTGGGCAAAGTCCTCTCTGAAAATCAGAGCCTGGAAGAGTGCGCGCGATGTGTTTTAACACTTTCACGATTTTTAATATAATTTGGACATATTTTTAAAAGTCAAAATTATATAAAAAAATGCTGTTAAAAACTGTATAGAAGAAGCATTCTCGTTTTTACTAATGACTTGTCAAGTCTAAAGTGAATCTTAAAACAATCTATTTATCAGAATATTTATTATCTGATAATAAAAACAAAACGTAAAAGGGGGAGCTTTTATTACCCGTTAAATGATGAATAATATAAAATACCTTAACAACATTTATTATCACATTGTAATTTTACATTTACAATAATTACGAATACAACAATTTATTTTTTAAGTATATTTAACAACAGGAGCTTTACCATAAGCTTGATTAAGTTATAAATGCTTGAACTTCGCCCTAGTACGCACAGTATATGTAGAGGAAAAATTTATATTATGTACACAAAGTATGGATACGTTTATTACAATTACATAACCTTTTAATTAAATGAAATTTTCTGAATACTTTCAGAAACCTTTTCTTTAATTTTTCATAAGCCTTAACAAGAATATTTGAGCCTTAACACATATTAAAAGGTAAATTTATTTGAAAGTAGATTGTATACCGTTTATCATTTCATACTAAACTTAAATCCAATGAATTTAAAATAAAAATCGCTTCACACTTAAATCTCAAGAAGCTTACACTAAAGGCCTGTATTCACTTTGATTAGTTATTAGTGCAGATGATTAGTGATTAGGAGAAAACAAGTGTGAACAGCGACTGATAAGTGCAGGTGATTAGTTGGCTGCGTAGTAAAGTGATTAGAAGCGTGTTCTATTTTAACTGCGAGTAGTGACACCGCGTGCGCCATCCCTTCCCCTTCACTCGCAGCGTGCTTGCAAAACAGCTATCGACAACTGAATTTACTTAACAGAGCCACTAAACAAGACACTACTGGCACTACACACCTGCACTTATCATCCTCAATTACTAATCACTTACACTCGCCACTAATCAAAGTGAAAACATGCATTTAGGAAGTGATTTAACTATGAAAATGACAGGACGTCTCCAATGGAATGTCAAAAAAGCTCGTAGCGTCTTGATGAAATCATAATTTAGTTTTTAATTGCAATATACGTTTAGGAGCGGGTACAATCAAGCTGTTGAAGATCTGTATGTGGGTTTGCGTCTGGTGGATGAGTGTGTTTATTATGTTTTCCAACGGTCATACATCCAATAGTCACTACAATCGCATGACACTGGCGATGACGGCTTTCAGCACATAGCCACTTGACTCGGGAGGAGCACACCGAGTGTCTAGTGTACCAGTACCCACGAAGCCTCATTATACGAGCACCGATCTTCGAGGTGAAGAAGGTTGGACGCTCTGAAAAAATGTTTGTATTAGAAGCTTATTAAATTAAATTAAGGTAATTCATTACACATAAAAAAACTGTTACTAATGTTCTTCATATCTTAGCCATGTCGTATACGTAATAGATATATACAGTAGGTGCGGTAAACAAACGTTTCACAAAATAGCTTAAATGCCAAAGCAATTAAGATGTTTGTAAAGGTCAATTTAATACAAAGTCAAAGAACACTCACTTTCGGAACTTTTAGAAAGAAAACATAGAAACAAAAAAATGTTTTATTTATCACAACACAGAGCATCAGTCAATAGTGATCATGCGATCGGAGGAGGATTAATTATATTATTATTTGCGTTAATAATCAAATATATTTATGACACTAAATATTTATATTATTATTAATGTATAGAGTAGCAAGGTTATATTATCCGTTTTAAAGATTCGATCTTTGAACGATTGAATGTTCATTTGTTTCAAGCCAAATTTACTTCAATAAACCTGACACTCTATTGAATTATACAGTAATACAGAACACGGTAGGTTGGTTCCGCGTTATAGGAATCGCTCTGTAGTAGTATTCTCGCATAACGCGCTTCTATGACCCCATATAACGCGTTATAACTTTTCTGGTTAAAGGGGATTTAAATCGAATATTAAGAAAAAACTATGTTATGAATGAAATATGTGCATAAAGATCATTATAAATGTTACAGCATAGAAATATAACCTGTGCGTTATATGGAGGAATATCCGTGTTATACGAGGTAATGATATCGTATAATATGAAAATGCGTACCGTGAGAGTACCGTGTTATAAGGGGGTTACTGCACATTACTTTTCGTGTTCGCAGAGCCCTGGAGATGTCAAATATTATTTAAAGGAATCATTACATTCAATCATTTTTTAATTAAAGGAAATATTTGTCTACGTGTGCCTATGAATCAACGTCAATCTTAAATCGTCTTAAAATCTTTAATCGAGGTAGTAATTAACCCCAGAGATATATAAAAAAAATTTATTCACTCAAAAATTCTTACATCCGACCATGTTGAAAAATGCAATGATTGCAAGTGACCTAAAAAGATCGGGTATTAAATAATTAATGCAAATCAGTCAATTCCTTTGGGGGGTGACAATGATTATTTCTTATTTTAATAACTTCATCATGGAACGTGTATAAATAAGCGTTACATCCATTATGCACCTGGCAACACCGCCATCTTGTCTTTGGACCCATTTGTCTATGTGTACGATATTCGTGTCCATTCAAATATAAAATTACAGTTCCACGTTTCGTTTTGTAGCGAATCGGTTCTGCAATAAAACATATCGTTACAACCAACATAATTAACTACAAATATACTTTACAGTGTATTTTAATTAAACTATCCGGGTAGCTTCGTCACTGGTTCCAAGGTTAATCTAAAGGTAACATTCAGAATCACGACTCGAATGAATTATGACTCACATATGTCGTAATCAATATATACGGGGTGAATACAAAAAAAACCTAATGATAACAATATCGGGGTATACAGTTCAGCGTTGGCGTTTCGAATCTATCCTCTACGTCCAATTAATCTACATTAAATATGCTAGAAAAGCGAGGCATCGCGCGCGATCGACGGGGAAGCGACGCCATTTTGAGGTTATTTTTCAATGTCGAGATGTGCAATTAATATAAATCAATTGGTCAAATTAATTGGTCTCACTGAATCATTCCAGATAATACATAATAAATTTATTTTTTATTAAAAATAACTTTATTGACGTATAAAACGTTAGTTTAATAAACTCATAACAACTAAGTCTTCCAATTGTGTTAGCATTGTCTTGTAACAAATGAGTACTTTTAATGAGTTAAAACGGTACAAACTGATTTATTTTATACATTTTACAATGATTTGCCATTTGCCAGCATTATTATATTTGACATATCATATTTCATATAAGCCTAGCAAGTTTGAAATGTCCCGTAATATTTATAAGTACATTCCCAATTCGTACATTCCCAAGAGTACATGTACTACGCATTCCCGTTTCATACTATTAATTTAGATGTGTTATTAGGTGGATGGTTATGATTGTTATTGACTTTAATAATTTCATTTTCGATTGTATGCACGGATGCCTTACACCCCTGATGAACTCGACAGCACCACCACCGTACTTTGTGTCCAATTATTCTCTGTTTCCAATACTCATATCCATTTAAGCATAGCTTAGTGGCTCCTCGTTTGGATGTAGCATACAGTCCTGTAAAAAGAAATTTGTATAGATCATCTGGGTGACGTTAAATTTTTAAAATCAATTAAATAGCCACAAAGATAAAATCATACTTTAGTTTAAAGGAAACAATTTTTTACCGGATTGAAGTTATGTATTATTATAAATTTACTATTATTTTAACTTTAACCGACGTTTCGCGTGCTTTACAGCATGCGTGGTCATGGTTGATAATAATACATAACTTCAATCCGGTAAAAAATTGTTTCCTTTAAATGAGTAAAAGTTATGTCAATAAAAGACAATACTATACTTTAGTTTTTTAAACTAGTTTTATAATTTTGTAAATTAGTAATTTTTTAATAGAGACACTAAAGTAAAAATACATCAGAAAAATAAGTAAACACTGCAAATGTATTAACTTTATTATTTTTTTTTTAAATATGTAACCGACATCAAATTCTATTGCAGCTATTAATGATATTCATTATTATTGTATTATTACAAAATATATGCACGTTCTAAATTGTCTCTTATTCCATCAACATAAGGCTCTTAACGGCAGCTATAGTCGCGGCATAATTGATTTGGTCTTCTCGCTGCATTATTTATACAATACATATATCTGATTATATGAATTTCCATACCATATAGGATGCAAGAAACGTATTTATTTATTTATTACGTAATCCGTAGTATACGTGACATTTCTTAAAAGCTACAATGTATAGACAATAATTATAATTACCCAAAATCAATATATACCTTTTTTTTTCATTATTAAAAATGTCTAAGCTCTTTATTCAGAGTCGGGAATTCTTGGTAAGTATAACTCCCATCACGTATGTCAAATACTGTATTACCTCACCCTCACTCATTTACCTCAATGTTTGACATTTATAACATGAAGGATTATTTTATTTTTATTTATTTATTAACACTTCGTTGCATCACAATATAAATATTGAACATAATTAAATGAAAAAGGAGGGCGGGCAACTGACGGATTATAACAAATACTTAAAGTTTTGCAAAACATAAACAAATTACTATATTGAGTCTGTGCAGAAATGCAAAGTGATATAATTGTTAATTGCTACGCGCCATTTCAATAATCACAAAAAATATTTTTATTTTTCATAAAAGTATCAAAATGATTATGTCAAACTATAATCACAGTGTTGGCAACACTGAGGTTAATTTAGCACTGCAGCGAGCTCAAACCCCACGACGGTTCTCATTCCGCACTTTCTATTCATTTAACTTAAGAACATCTTCTAGCGTATACGTTGATAAACATATTTATTTTCAGCTAAATGACACTCACTCAGGTTCTTCAACTAAACAATTAATCAGTGGCGCTACAATCTTTTTAGGTCGGAGCCTAAGGCTTCTGTATCTGTTTCATGATCATTTGTCAATCTAATGGTAATAGTAGCCTGCTTCACCTAACACACGCCGTCGACTTTTTGGGTCTCAGGCAAGCTGATTACCTCACGATGTTTTCCATTACCGTTCGAGCGAATGTTTAACGCGCACATAGAAAGAAAGTCCATTGGTGCACCGCCGCGGACCGAAACTACGACCTCAGGTATGAGAGTCGCACGCTGAAGCCATAAGGCCAACACTGCTCATCTTCATCTATAAAAGTTAATAAAACCACGTTGTTCTAATACTAATATAATTCAATGTAAATATTATAAGGAACATTGTGAATAATACTATCATGATAAACTTATAACTTATTACAACATTATCTGTGTAATCTACTTGTAATCGACTACAGATAATGAAGCGTGTCTGTTCTTGTTCATAGATATTCTACATGCGAATAAAATAACATTGTAAAATTTCACAAAAAATAAAGACATTTAAATATTACATTGACCCAAAACCTAAACAGTTCTTGATGAATTTAAAGTTATCATAAAACGTCAGTACATTCCTATTTAAAGGGTGGGAATAACAAAAAAACTCACCCTAGCTGCTTATACTGGAACTCGAATCCATATACCACTATCACACGTACACACACGCACACAGACACGAAACTTACTAACACAATTTACAGGCACAATTGGTTTACTAGGCAGAAAGCTATTTTGAAGAGTGAAGTATATATTTTATTATAATTATAAAGTTATCACACTTAAACTGTTTAATACATGACGTCTTACATTAAGACCGAGCGCGCAAACTAAGTAAACGAAGGGTCGTTCTACCCCTCGCTGGTAATTTATCGAATTGCTATAGCAAAAATATAAAGCATTTTACCTTTTATAACACTCTAGTCTGTACTTCTACTGGAGTCAAAATATTTCTCGCAATGTATTACAGCTAATCCCGTATAAAGACGAATAGTTTTGACCAACGTCAAAGCATGCCTAAAACTTAAGTTTAAAGGTTTGTGTTCATTGTAAATTACATCTTAATTTAAAGCAATAAATACGATATTACAATTCAAGATAATTACAGTATGTTTCATATTATTAATTTCCTATTAAATTATGCTTAGCCCATTTGAAAGCTTTAAAACAAGGTTGTAATTGCATGTGTGAACAAACAAACAACGGATTATTTTTCATAAACATAAACTATATCGAGATTGTGATTACTGTGTACTAAAAATATATTAAACATAGTGAAGTGATAACGCGATTATGAATGATACCATACCTCACTAACGTATTGTTACTTAAATCGCTTCCTTTAATCAGTCATTAATTTATATTTATCTTATATATTTACAGTAATTAAAGATAGGCGATTAAAACAAATCTTATTGCATAACTCGAGAGTTTTCCAACAATTGTCGCCACATCAAGTTGACGGACAATTTACATTTATTTCGTTTATTACGAACATCGTTGGAGCGACCATTCTTGTTTCTTGAATGTAAACCATTTTTTAGTACAAAATTCATTGGCTATAGCGATAGCGAGCTATAGCGAATACTGTAGTCTGAAATATTGCAATATTTACCGCTGACCACGATAGCTCGAATCGTCTAAATATGTAATAAATTATGTATACCTATATAAAATTGAAATATTTTTTTTATGTACGTAGTTGGTCCCAAAGTTCTGTCACTAGCACATTATTTCTACATTTCGAGCAGGATTTTATAAAAAAATTATTGCATTCTATATTGGAATGTTTGATTATTGTTTTAAAACAAAAACAATAACTTTCCGTAATTTTTCACGATGGAGTGGACATTGAAAGTAAACCGAATAGTTGTTATTGCGTTGCACCGCTGTGGACACTCGCCGAGTACCATTTTCAAGTTGCTCAAAAATTTGAATATAACGCTTAGGTTTGTGTACGGTACTATTGATAGGTACCTTGAAGTCTCCAGTGTTGAGGACAAGAAAAGAACTGGCTGGCCACGCTCCGCAAGAACACCAGCAGTAATCAAAGCTATCAAGGCGCGGATAGTAAGAAATCCTGTCCGAAAACAGAAGTTGATGGATTTGCAGATGGGTGTCAGTAGGAAAACAGTAAAAAAGGTTTTAAATGAAGATCTTGGTCTACGAGCATACAAAAAAGAGTGGGCACTTACTTAATGCTCGTCTAAAAGCAATAAGGCTTAAGAGATCGCGGGTGTTGTTTAAGCGGTACGCGAAAAACCGACACCGTGATATCCTCTTTACGGACGAAAAATTTTTCGATATTGAAGAGAAGTACAATAAACAGAATGATAGAGTGTACGGTAGGAGTTCTGAAGAAGCTGTAAATAAAGTGGGAGGGTGCAACATGGACATCATCCATCATCAGTAATGGTCTGATTGGGAGTGTCCTATTACGGGCCAAATGACGTTCAATTTTGCGAAAAGGGGGTCAAAACCAGTGCAAAAGTGTACCAAAAGACGGTTTTAGATCGGCTTGTCAAAGACCTGACCAGCACGCTATTTGCGGGACATCACTTCGTGTTCCATCAGGACTTTGCGCCTTCACACACAGTCAAGACCACTCAAGCCTGGTTTGAGCGTCAAAACATCGACTTAATTAGACATGTCGATTGGCCTTCCTCCAGTCCGGACCTTAATCCTTTGGACTATAAAATTTGGCAGGTCTTAGAGAGGAAGGTCTGTGCTATACCACATAAAAATTTGGAGAGTCTGACGTCATATTTAAATAAATCAGTCACTGAAATCGACATGAATATGGTGCGTGCTGCGATAGACGACTGGCACCGAGGCTTAAGGGCCAGTATTAAAAATAAGGGAGATCATTTCAACAAATTGTATGCTATTTCTATTCCTTAATTAATGTGCTATAAATTGGTATATCACTCATTAAAAACTGATAAGTACTTTTGTTTTTATCATTATTTCCATTTATGACAGAACTTTGGGACCGACTATGTAGAATAAGACGTGTAAACCAAAGATATTATAACGACTGATTTTAGTTTAACTTAATTTTTTGTATAGTTAAAATTATCATAAGTATTTTGCATATGCGAATTACCGAAGTGAGGAGGATGATTATGAACATTTTTAAATTTTACTATTGACGCGCCAATTGTATGAATGTTTGCTCGGCACCCTCTGCTGTTGTGTGTTCCGCACCACCATCTGGTCTTTTGTCCCGACTCGCATTGTCTAAGGAACTTGTACCCTTGAAAAAATATCATTCGTGCCCCCCGTTCCGATGTGGTGAACACTGGACCTGTAAATTTACATAACTATAATACTGATACACTATTCAACATCAATATTAATATACCCTTTTTATTAAAGATCTCTTCCATGAGTTAATTATCATTTTTTATATTAATAATTACACTTATGTATTTTAATTTCCATGATAGTACCATATAATCTACAACTTTAACTATACATAGTGTAATCCGGGGTCTTCATTAGTTTTACTCTATATTAACCACTCGCGTACAACAATATAATATAAGCGTCTGGCTTTACTCTCGGGCGTAACTCCGACGATTTATAAAAACGCCACGCTTATAAAACTAAGAAAGCCTGACTGACCAAATTGTACAGCCTTAGTTAGCTCTTACACTTAGAACACCCACAACATAGATTTGAAGTGTTGTATTTTTTTACATACTTGCCACTTTTTGTTTTAGAAGAGCTGGTAACGCTGTCATCTTAACAAGCTTTCTAAATCTGACCTTTGTACCTTTCGGCAAAATTATAAACATACAGGCACCGTAGTTAACCATTGAAACACCATAAATGTTTTAAACAATATTGTATACGTATAGGTATATTTTGGGAGACAATATTTTTATGACTACTAAAACTTTTTGACAATAAAAAAATTCACGGGAATTAAAACAATAATTTAATCAGAGGTTCGTATCACAGATCTTCCACAACTTTCGATTCATATCTGATGCTGCGTCTGTATCCTCTTCTGGTATGTTCAAAGGGGAGTGGTTGTGTATATTAATGCCCTTTATAATAGTTCTTCCAAGTGTATAGATATTTGCTCTGCAGCCTTTATTGTTGTGTGTCCCACAAAGCCATCTAGTCTTGTAACCCTGTTTACGTTGTCTTAGAAATTTATAACCTTGATAAGAGATCATTTCAGCTCCACGTTTTGTTATAGAAAATACCGCCCCTGTGAATATGAAATTGTTAAAATCTATATTTTTAAACCACTGTGAGAAATATTGAATGCTTTTAATACTTCTCATTTCAATTGGTCCACCATAAGATTGCTTTTTTAAACGGAGGTAAAAAGCGATAACGCAGGTCTATTCTGAGGCTATTTAGAGCAGTAGCAAGATCCTACCCCATATAAGCACCACAACCCAATAAGATTGATCCTCGGGATAAGATTGTTCGCCAAACCATGACCTGCGGTTCCAGGCTGCTCGGAAGTGAGTCCCCAGCCCCGAACCATCAGCCACTCTATGGTCTACCCCAGAGCTCTGCCTGATTCGTTCAGCAGCACCATTAGAATGCTACATTATCCAGAAAATCCAACCGTGCTTATTCGGGACAGTCCGCTAGTGTGACATAATGAGACGTATAAACTACTAACTGTTATTTTTCTATTAATGGACAGCAAATAAAAATAATATAAAAATAGCCTTAATATTATTATTACATTACTAAATTTATATTATTATCATGTTTAATACGACCTCCGAAGGAGTGAAGGTCTCCTCCAAATTCTTCTACTTGTCTCTCATCTTCGCTACTATTGTTAAATCTTTTCCGGCTTTCTGTTATATCATCCTCCCAGATTTCCGGTGGGAGACCTCTCCTTTTTCTCCCTACTGGGCTATTTACATCTAACTTCACAAACGCGGGCAGTGTGTCACGTTATAATAACGCGATATTCCACTCGTATGCACTCAAATATCAACGAAATGAATAATATACCTACTCGTACTTCAACAGACTTGATTTTGTATGATATATATCTAACGAAATATTTATTTATTAACACTTCGTTGAATACAGAAATATAATACAGTTGACATAATTAAATGACATGGATTGCTACTGGCGGCCTTATCGCTTTCAAACGATCGCTTCCAGGCAACCAGTGCGAGAAAAAAAAATAGATCAGGCCAGCTCAAGATTAGCAAAAATATAATAGACAATTAGACAAAATGAATGGAACAAAACAAAGCAATTAAAACATATGTAAACAGAGAACAGAACAACATTTAAAAAAGGACACATGAAAATGAAAAAGTGCACATGAATCACGATAATTTTACATCAGTTAGTACAAAAGTAATATTAAACAAGTTAACAAAATGGAAAGGGCCTTTGTGTGAGAGCCAACAAAAGGGGTCTTACGATGAGTCGATGAAAATAGAGACAGCGGACAACAACTGGTTTCGGGTTGCCCAAACCAGATAAATCTGGTCATCATTAGACATGATGTTCCCCATTACTAAAAGTATATAATACCGTCTTTAATTGGGACATTAAGTCTTCGATACAATAATTCACCTCTCGTTAAGTTAATTTTCAAGATCAACTTGCTTATATATATATATATATATAAGTGAAAATGAAAATCCTTTAATTTTGTTCCGTTTCCTTTCTGAGCTATTGACGCCTTTGACCATTTCATTTCAATTTATGCAAAATGTATAGATTTTCCATTAATTCCAGAGTTTATTAAATTTTGGTATTAATTTGCTATCTGAACATATTCCCCCCTCTTCGTAATCTTATATTTCGGGGGTGGGTGAGTGTGACTACCTTTTAGAGACTCAGTGGCCGAAATCTTCATATCTTTCGTCAGCTTCAAAGACGCGTTGCAATTCTTGTGTCTTTTAGTGCAATAAAATGTATATTTACTAAACTGACGATAGGTATATTCATTAATCATTAAAAACACATTGCCTCTACCGGTCGGGATCGTCTTGAAATCCAAATAGTTTTCTAAAAATAAACACAATATTTGAGTTTCCTAAGAGCCAAAATCCAAATAGATACTATTTATATCGCTTTCTGAGTTACATTAGTAAGTTCTAGTCTAATACTTTAATAAGATGAACAAACGAAATCTGGTCAACAACTTTATTAAAACTAAAACAAAAAAGTCATTAGTTTTTTAACAAAATTACGCTAAATGGTATGTTTATTACTTTATTATTAATACAACGTTGGATTCAACTGAATTCTTAGGCACTATACCACCATGCAGTATAAAGCTAATTATTTTTCAGATCATGTGGATATTTAGATTTATTAACATAATACAATAAAAAATCTGTGGCGCTACATCCTCTTTAGATCTTGGCATCAGATTTCTGAATCTGTTTCATGATAATTTTTAAATCTAATAGGCAAGTAGGTGATCAGCCTCCAGTGCCTGACCCACGACGTCGACTTTTTGGATCTAAGACATGTCGGTTTCCTCACGATGTTTTCCTTCACCGTTCGAGCAAATGTTAAATTCGCACATAGAAAGAAAGTCCATTGGTGCACAGCCGGGGATAGAACCTACGACCTCAGGTATGAGAGTCGCACGTTGCCATTAACATAACACGGGTTCAGACAATCTTAAAATAACGATAAAAAATATAATTCTTTATTAATAGAGAATAAAACTAAGTTTCAATTTATTATTATTTATTATCACTATTCCGTTCTAAGATGTCGCATAAGAACAATTGCCTTCACTTTACAAATATATATAAAATCTGCAAATTATGATTCTTTAAGCACACTTCATTAATGCCTACATTAATTCCTTTCTCATAGGTTTCTTATAGTTGTTAGTCTGCTGTCTGACATACACTAGATTTTAATCTGGTATCCGAATATATTCCCCTCTCTTCGTCACAACATACTTCGGCGGTGGGTGTGTATGAATACCTTTTAGAGAGTCAGTGGCCGAAATCTTCATATCTTTCGTAAGTTTTAACGACGCTTTGCAGTTATAATCTCTTTTAGAGCAATAAAAGGTGTATTTAGTAAATTGGCGATAGGTGTATTCATTAACCATTAATAAATAATTGCCTTTTCGGGTCGGAATCTTCTGGAAATCCAAAAAGTCTTCTGAAAATAAAAAAAAACTAAATATCAATTTTTTAGAGTTTTTAGTTAAATTTCATATACAAAACTAGTGGACCCCACAGACGTTGTCCTGCATGATATTTAAAGCGATTAGGATATTAAGCAAAGTATGAAAGTACCGACTGCAGTGCCATCTGCCGGGCTGATTTGTGAATCTAAACCATTCCCAGATCCCCTTGAACACACACAAAAAATTTCATCAAAATCGGTCCAGTCGTTTGAGAGAAGTTCAGTGACATACACACTCACAGAAGAATTATATATATAAAGATACAAAATATGCGTTCAAAAATATGTGTAATAAACACCGATGACCGTAGACCGTAACGGCCTACAGGATATGTTAAAATATCACAGACCGTGGCTGGAACGGTTCAGCGACATCATTAAATATCACAAGAAGGCAAACAAAAATGAAAGAACTGCCCTGCGATTATGTAACTCACTTTTCGAATTCACACAGCGGTTTTCGCTTCGGCGGTCGCTCTCAAATCAGTCGTGAAGCAACAGATAAACAATAAACTACAAGCTCCCACCTTTTCAGAATGCCAAATCATAAAATGACTACTTCACGACTGATTTGAGAGCGACCGCCGATGCGAAAACCGCTGTGTGAGTTCGAAAAGTGAGTTACATAATCGCAGGGCAGGTCTTCCAAGTTACTGCGCCCGGCTCGCCAATGAGTAGAGCTAAAACAATCCGTTAAAGGGAACGTTAGTCTTGGGACACGGGAATAAATATAGAAAACGGGAATAAATTTTTCTAGACAGTAATTTTTTTTAACTTAAGCATAGTATTTATTTCATACAGGTCAATATTTTTTAATAAGATAATGAATCACTTTTCAGTATGTTTATTATTTGATTAGATTAAAAGTTGATTAATTTGCGATATTTGTTTTAAAATAAGGGTTGTTTGATGATTTGCTATTTTAAAAGAGTACCGAGAGTTTTTTACGCCGGCTTTTTCTCTCGGCCTACACCCTCTGTCTTCTTTGCCAATGAGTAGGGATGCCTACAAATTCAAATTTAATGATGTGGAATAAGTGATACCTATATCTTATGTTCCATAATAAACATGTCGTCAATTTTTGGATTTAAAACATGTCTGTTTCCTTACGAGACCTTTAAATTATGAAGGTTCTTAGGCACTATACCAGCATGCATAATCTAATTATTAGCTTTACAGATCACGAGGATATTAAGATTTATTACCATAAACAGCTTCAGACAATCTTAGCATAACGATAAAAATATAATTCATTAATCATTATTTTATTAATAGAAAATTATAATAAGTTTCAATTTATTATTATTCATTATCACTATTCCGATATAAGATGTCAAATAATAACAATTGTGTCCTTTACAATCCGTCTGTGCACAGCCGAAATTGAACTGACAACCTCAGGTCCGACAGTCGCACGCTAAACTGCATTACTCACATATACCACTGTTATTATTTTAGCAACCGAATATATTCCCCCTTCCTCGTCACAATATACTTTGGAGGTGGGTGTGTATGAATACCTTTTAGAGATTCAGTGGCCGAAATCTTCAAATCTTTCGTGAGCTTCAGCGACGCTTTACAATCGAAATTTCTCTTAGAGCAATAAAATGTGTATTTAGTAAATTGGCGATAGGTGTATTCATTTACCATTAATAAATAGTTGCCTTTACGAGTCGGTATCTTCTGAAAATCCAAACAGTCTTCTGAAAATAAAAAACGAAGTTAAATTTCATATACAAAATATGCGTTCAAAAATATGTCTAATAAACACCGATGACAGTAGACCGTAACGGCCTACAAGATATGTTAAAAAAAATCGGTTGTCTGTAAAGTCGGTTTACTGACGATAGTTGAACGTGACAACGTCATAAAAAAATATTGATGGGATGGTTGCATTTTTCAAAAAAAAAAAAAAAAAATTTTATTTGTTTGATAGGTATTTTGTATGGATATAGAGAAGGAGGTAAATGGAAATCACAATTGAATTGATCAAGTTACATTTATTTGTACGCATAAATACAATTATGTCAATTTTAAATGTAACGCCTCAGAGCGAGGTAACGCCTCAGAGAGAGGTAACGCCTCAGAGCGAGGTAACGCCTCAGAGCGAGGTAACGCCGCATGAGTCATGTTTTTTCGTGCGTGCAGCCGGCTCCATCGAATTATAAGACGTTGTCACGTTAAAAATCACAGACCGTGGCTGGAACGGTTCAGCGACATTATTAAATATCTGAAAGAGGCAAACAAAAATGAAAGAACGGGTCTCGCAAGCAAATGCGCCCGGCTCGCACATGAGTAGAGCGAAAACAAACGGTTAAAGGGAACGTTACTCTTGGGAAGCGGGAATAAAACTTTTATTTATTGTATTCCATAGTAACGTTCGCAAATCCATTTTTTCTTATTAAGATTGCAAGGATAGGATATATGGCGGCGCTACCACCACGCCTTAACACTGTTTAGTAGCAATCCTTTTATTTGCAGCATGAAAGCTTATTTAAAGCAGTATCTATATTTACGTCTGATACTAGAAATTTAAATAAAATCTATTAAAGGGATATAAACGCGAATTTATTAGTTAACTATTGATTAAGCAACAATCAATCGTGATTTGAAATGTCAAACAATTTTTTGGATTGATATCCGTTAATACAATTTTAATTAAATTTGCCTACGTTATACCAAGAAACCTATGCTGTGTGTATTATTTTAATGAACATACAAAACTACGTTTAATTATTAATTTAATAACGTAAAGTTAGGTACAGACGTGGTGACGCGTGGGGAACTATACAGTACAAGTATTAGAGTAAAATATTCACTTGTAATTTTGCAGAACTTTATTGACACCAATTATTTTATAGCATATTAAATTTCTAAGGTTTTCTTACATTTACCACAATATAGGATATATAAGATATTAAAAAGAAGACTCTTTTATTCGTGAAATGCTATTAACGAACTAACCCTGCTGAAGTAGAGCTGAAGTTCTCGGTAAGGTTAGCATTACCGAATTTATCAGTAATATTATATCGATGGAGCCAATGACAAAAGGATTTCTACGTATTTATTACGAAAGCGAAAAAAGCTTTCAATACAATTTATTTTAATGCCGCTACAGATTATGTTAAATACTATTATTATCATTAATAATTTTAGCCACGCAAAGCTATCGTTAACAGTAATGTTCCAAATTGCGAAGTTACACTTAAAAATACACTTTATATTACTTAAGATATTTGACTAAATTTGACTTTCCGTATATAGGAAGTTAGTATATAAGATTAATATATAGTATAGTAATATAATTGATTAAAATATAGTTGAAAATCTACTCAGGATGTACCTTTACCAATTGCCCCGACGGAGTCAACATATACTCAGGGGGTGGGTGGGTATGTGTGCCTATTATAGACTTAGTCGCCGAAACTTTCATATCTTTCGTGAGCCTCAACCGCACCTTGCAATTAGAGTGTCTTTTTGAGCAGTAGTACACGTATCTACTAAACCTATTGAAGGTGTATTCATTAACCATAATCATATGTTTTCCAGTCGGAGTTGGTATCAGCTTGAAGTCCAAATAGTCACCTATAAGATAGAAATATATGAAATATATATCTCAAGATAAAATCATCCACCACTACTTTGAATTTGGAACGCATATTTCAGAATTCAGTATTACTAACATGCCAGTATTTCTAAGTAATTCAATATTCTAAGTGCTAATTATTCTAAAGGAACAGAATAAAAATATAAACGAAGTTTGAGAAAGGTTTTTGAAGAGTTCGTAAATAAAATACGGTTTTTATTGTAATTGTAATAATTTTATATATTAACCTATGGTGTTGATAATTATAAAGCTAATAATAAAACAATTTTTTACCGGATGGAAGTTCTGTATTTACAATTATTTTTCATAATTTTAAATTTAACCGACGTTTCGCGTGCTTTACAGCGTGCATGGTCACGGACCAAATATAAAGCTACTATATAAAAAAATTGTGTCAATCTATCTAATAGATATAGAAAGTATGTCTAGTGGAATAGAATACAAATTATTTGATAATGATATGCAAAACCTTTGATTCCTTATCATAATGTTATTATCCGGACATCGAGGTGATACGGATGGAATTTTGTATTCTGCCTTAACGTCCGATTATGAAACTCAATGATGCTGCTAACCAAACTCAGAGTCGTTCATTAGGGCTTAACGCATTTACCAAATTTAAATAAAATGCATGAAATGGAAAGCTAAAAAAGGGTTTTCTCTTCCCTAGGATCCCTTAATTCAACTGATCACAATTTAAATCTACAATTAGATTAATTAAAAAAAATAATTAAGCAATAAGCATAAACTCCAAACCTTCATACCAAAGTTACTTAATCACAGGTTTGTATGTAACGAGTACAAATTTTATCCTATCTTAATATAATCCCCATTTGCAGTGACCATATACCGAGGAGGCGCATGGTTATGGCAGTATATATCTGAATTTTCCATTATAATTTTCATACTTTTCGTAAGCTTCACTCGCGCTTTGCATCCAGCGTGCCTCTTTGAACAATAATAAGCGTATTTATACGTTTCGGCATATGTGTATCCATTCACCATTAACAATTTTTTTCCAGCACGAGTTGGTATCATTTTATAGTCCATTGCATCTAAAAAATAATATTAATAAGTTTATTTGCCTTTTCAAAAATTTGCATTTTACAAGTTTAACGCAATAAAAAAAAAGTGACAGTCGCAAAAATTTATCATCGTTAAACCAAAATGCGATATAAATTAACATTACGCAACTCAAACCATTTACAATCATTACAAGAGAACAAATAATAATATTACACTTATTATTCAAATATGCATGCATTAAATCAAATCAAAATCATTTATTAATTTAGGTAACACAATACACTTATGAACTTCAAAAAGTAATACATATTCAATGCCAAATGATTATAATTTTAGATTAACTGCCAGTTCTCAAATCAAGGGCGTAGAACAGAAGAGCAGATATGGCAATAAACTCTCCGCCACTCTTTTGCCTTTTTTTACCTCAACGTATTAACGTCTGACCTCTCACAAGTGTTTTAGTGCCGTATTCAATCTTTAGTAGCCGGAGACCCAAGCTGAACGTGACCTCATTTGCAGTGTTACAGTATCGATACTTACATTACTACTTACTGTTCCATGGGTTCAAAAATGAGGTCGTAGCATAAAACATGAACTTACGATTTGTTTCTGTTACCACTATTATTACACTTATTTTATCGTGAAAATTTTTTGAAAAAAAAAAACATTTTATATCGTACACAGGAATAATTTTAGTCATTTAAAACAAAAAAACTAAGAAAAAAAGAATTATAAAAGACGCTTTATCTTTTTTAATTTTTCGATAATATCCACTCGCTGATACGGCATACTTCGGAGGTGCATGTATATGACATTCCAAGGAAGACTCTTCGGTCAAGATCTTCTGTTCCCTAGTCAGTTTAACATGCGCTTTGCATCCCATTGGTATCTTGGTGCAATGGTAAATAGGAACACGACATCGCTTTAAATACGTGTAGCCATCAATCATCAAAATATACTGTCCTAATCGTCTTGGGATAAATTTAATATCTAAAAAGGACGGCTGAGTTACATTGTATACGTCAGATAATACTATGAGTTAAAATAGCAATATGTATCAATAGTAATTCAATAGAACAGGACGCTGCAACCACGGACTCAGAATTTTGTTTCAGTCAATTTGTGTCTTAAGGCCTGTATTCATTTTGATTAGTGCGAGTGCAAGTGATTAGTAATTGAGGATGATTAGTGCAGGTGTGTAGTGCAAGTAGTGTCCAACTATTGTTTAGTGGCTCTGTTAAGTAAATTCAGTTGTCATATAGTTTGGCAGGCACGCTGCGAGTGTGAGAGAAGGGAGGGCGCATGCGACGTCACTACTCGCAGTTCACTCGCAAAAAAATAGAAGACGCTTCTAATCACTTTACTACGCAGCCAACTAATCACCTGCACTAATCACTAATCAAAGAGAATATAGACATCTTTCTTCACTTTTTCCTTGACTGCACAAGCTTGTGCACGAAGAAAGATGCAGCCTCAGCATGCGCCTCAGACCTGAGTGTTGAGAATTGCTGATATTTGAGTCGAGATCAATGTCAATCAATATTATACAAGTACACATGACTGAGACATATTTTCACTATCCATATCTTTTGATATTAAAGACTACACGGCTTAGTTATCAAATTATAAAAAACGCGGACGTCAGTTACATACAATAATATATTAAACTAAGATTTTAAGGATTCATTTGTTATCAAGAGCATACGTTTATTTTCTAAGAAATCCTATGAACTAATTTTTATATTATCTCCGTTATCAGTCACTATACAGGGTGGACAAAAAGTCGTGGATCAAACGCAACTAGAGGATAGATGAGGTCATCAGATGCAAAAAATTGTTATACGGGAGGTCCCTAAGCTCTCGCTTTATTTTGCGTTTTTATAAGAAAATTGATATTTTAATCTACAATTAGATTTATTTAAAAAAATTAATGAAGCCATAAGCATAAACTCCAACTCTCCATATCAATGTTACTTAAACATACGTTTGTATGTAACCAGTACAAAATTTATTCTACCTTAACATAATTCCCATTTGCAGTGACCATATAACGAGGAGGCGGATGGTTATGGCAGTATATATCTGAATTTTCCATTATAATTTCCATACTTTTCGTAAGCTTCACTCGCGCTTTGCATCCAGCGTGCTTCTTTGAACAATAATAAGCGTATTTATACATTTCGGCATATGTGTATCCATTCACCATCAACAAATTTTTCCCAGTACGAGTTGGTATCATTTTATAGCCGATTGCATCTAAAATTTAATATATATATATATATCATGCTGGTCAACCCAAACATTTACGACTGAAACCGATACAAAAAAACCTCTTTGGCAAAGCAATTTTTAAGTATTGTTCATATTTATATAAATCTAAAACTTTACATTTACGAGACTTAGACGGAGGGATATGTTAGGAATTTAATGAATTTAATTGTCATCAAAATATTAAAACTGTCAAAAATTAATTTAATATTATTATTAAAGCGTTTCATCCGTAATTTTTTTTTAATACAGTTGCTCAAAAAGTGGCGTGTTGCAGGGACTTATAGCGTTCGGGATGTGGGCTATTACACACTCGTGCTTTTTTTTTACCTTTTCCGAACTAGTGCGTTTTCTTTCCCAACTGTCAAAATAATGTCTATTAAAAAGAAAAAACCAACCACGAAGTTTTTACTAAAAAAAATTCATAGATATTTTTATGATTCCTGCAAATATTTCTAAAAAGAAGCTACTGCTTTGTTTCAATATCAGATTTAATGATTTGATTCAATGAGTTAGGTTAGATTTCATTTCATATCAATAAAAAATTGTACTGAAGACTTGGCTGTATGGGCATAGTTCCCTTTGCCTACCCAGAATGGGTGAAGAAAAAAAAATATCTGCTTATATCTTTTACGGTTGGCGCCATTTTCCATAAATGTTCTTTGCGCGTTTAGTTGTTTGTTATATTATATATTAAATATACATGAACAATCATACGAAATTAATAATAGTTTGTCTCAAACAGTAAATAAATATGTAACCTAAAACTTCTCCAGTTAGTATAAAAAACTGTACCAATGTATATGTGAACAATATTTTGTATAAGAAATAAATGATTAGTTAGTTGAGTTTATTGTGTTTTTATTATTTTATTAAATTGCATAATTTTTTCGCAACTGTATTAAAAATAGTTGTTCAGTACACGTGCGGAACCGTCATTGCAACTTGTTCCGACTGTCAACCCTTACCTTCGGCTGCGCCTCGGCTCGGGTAGACATTTGTCGAAACTCTTTGCAATGACAGGCTTTCCGCACTTGTAATGAAATATACTATACCCTCATGAGCCTAAAGAAGTTTCATTTCAATAAATATATATTACACTTATAATAGAATTCAAATCATGGTATGGGACAATAATTATTAACTTGCATTACCTTAACTTCTGATCTTGACAACTGTGAAAAAGCTTCTTACATATACTCTCAGTCCTCAAATAAAGTGCGTAGAACGGAAGTAAACAATATCCTTTTAATTTGATCAAGTAATTTGTTTAATTATAATACGTTTCTGATCTCACTTTCTTAGTACAAAACTCAGTGGCCAAATATATGTCGGAAAAGCATTCTTTTCGTCAGCATCATGATTGCGGGCTTTACAGGCGTTTGCACTATTTTAACTAAGATTGAAAAACTTTGTAATAACAATGAACATAGTCCAAACATCGAGTTCAGAGCAGACCTTACTTCAACATACTCAACTTTAGGACCAAAGTTGTGGGTCATCTTTTATAAAGTTCTGCGAAAGCAACTGGCAGTATCGATAAAGCGCCTGGACCTCTCTCCAGTCTGCTCTAATTAGCAAGTCTGACAATAAAAAAAAACTAAAAAATAAGAAATCAAACAAAATTAATATTAATTCCTCGTAGACTAACATAAATAATAGGCTGAAATAAGATCCGCATCTTTGATTATTATTACTATTTCCAGTAGTACATTTACAGATAAATAAAATTGCATTTTAATTAACAGTTTATTTTTTAAAGAGAACTAAAACTAGTGTAATAAAAATAAGAACAAGTGCGGTATCACGGACACAAACAATTTAATTAATAATATAATATGATCAATAAATTAGGAACATAATATTTTAATTATTAGCCGCAATTATTTTAAAGGCAAATTAATAGTTATAATTTAAAAAATATTTTATTAAGTTTAACCAATTCTTAAATAATGGCCTTGATTAGTTATAATATATTTAGGTGGAGGGTGTGTATGGCAAAGGATTTGAGACTCAGTGACTGAAATAATGTTGTCATCGGTAAGTTTAATACGAGCTTTGCAACCCGAGTTTTTCTTGGAACAATAGTAATTGTTGGGACCATTATTTGCGGAAAAGGTATAACCGTTTACCATCAAGAGATATTTCCCAGCACGGGTAGGTATCTTTTCGTATTCAATGAATGTTTCTGAAATTAAAAGTTATCGTTAATCGCAATACATTAATGATTTAGCGTTTGCATGTGAAACGAAGAGGCGTTTAAACAATATTTTTATATTTACCTACATCGCTTTATTCTCCTTATACAAATTATATTATAATTGTATTTATTCTATCCTATTTTAATGTAATCTCCATTGGATGCCACCATATATCTAGGCGGAGGGTGGGTATGACAGTCAATGGAAGACTCTTTGACGGAAATCCGGTTCTCTTCTGTGAGCTTTATGCGAGCTCTACAACCTGCTATTTTTTTGGAACAGTAGTATAAATGTGGACCGTGGCCTTTGGAGAAAGTAAAACCATTAACCATCAAGAGATATTTTCCAGAACGAGTTGGTATTTTTGTGTAATCTATGAAATTTTCTGAAAAGAGAATATTTGAATTACATAATAGTCAGATATTAAATATGTGATACGTTTAACTTGAATCAATCTCGATTTAAATAAATCGGTTTCAAAACTTTTGACGAACATAACATGCTATATTAAAATAATCGTAGCGTTTAAATTAAATGTTATCT